AGCCATCGTCGACGCCTTTGTCCAAGGCTATGTCATGGACAAAGGTGCCCCGGAGCGGCTGCTGACCGACCAGGGTAGAAATTTTTCCGGAAAACTCCTCCAACAGGTTTGTGAGCTCCTAGGAACGAAAAAGATTCGTACTTCCCCCTATCACCCGCAAACTGACGGGATGGTCGAGCGTCTGCATCGCACCATCTCGTCTATGTTATCACAGCAGGTTTCGGACTCACAGACTGATTGGGACTTGAAAATCCAAGGGGTCTTGGCAGCATACAGATTGGCCCCCCATGCTGCAACGGGATTTTCACCATTCTTCCTCATGTATGGGCGCGACCCTGACCCACCCATTCGGGCGCAGCTGCAGATCCCCACACCACTGGGTAAAACAAAATTAATTGACCATGTCAAATTCAACCTTGAAAAATTGACTGAGGCACGGGATGCTGCCATGCTAAATTCAGAACAGCGTCAAAAAGCAAATGAGCGCCTCAGACTGGGTCGCGCGCACGTGCTGCAGTGGAAGCCGGGGGACAGGGCATGGCTGCACTGCCCCCAGGTACCACTCGCAACATCCCCTAAACTGGCGCGGCCGTGGAGGGGTCCTGTAGAGGTGGTCGAGGTTCTGCGGCCTCAGTGTGTTCGCATCAAATGGGGGAAGCGCCGGTGGTTTGTGCACCCCTCGAGACTAAAACCATTCGTTGCGGTGCGAGGCCCCACTCCACACACGCGTGGCCAAACATGTGGGGGGTCGGCCGACTCAAAGGGTCCGTCCTTGCTGCCCTCGCCTGACGTGTCGCCGGCTGTCCCGCCCACAGGTGCACCGGGATTGACGGGCTCGCACCCACCTACCGCTGCGAGGGATGCCGAGGGTCTCGCGACGTCAAACGCGGACTCAATACGGAATGAACAACTGCCACCGGCGGGTTCGCCACCCGGGATTGCCCCGTGTGACGGGCCTGCAGCAAGGACGCGCGCAAAAATGCGCAGACTCTTATGATGCATTGGAAGAACACTTAATTCTCTTGTGTACGGTTGCGGGGTGCTGCGTCGGTGGGGAGCTCCTGCCACATTTTTGTTGTGTTGCATGTGTGCTAGGGGTTCCCTGCTAAACCTGTATATACGTCGCTCTTACGGAATTCGTATTTATTCAGGGGGGGTGCGTCGGATTGTTCCCTTCGGGGTTTGTGGGTTTTATTGTTGTTGTTGTTGTTCCCTTCATGTTATCGTTACAAAACGTTTTTTTGAGGCACACGCGGGGATCCAGGGGTTAATTAACCTTTATTGAAGTTGTTGCAGCCGGGACGGCTGCGAGCTGTACAGGGGGGGGTGATGTAGGGCTGTTACAGAGGGGCTGTTTGTGTAGGGCTGTTTGCATAGGAGCTAACGGATAATAAACACAGTGGGCGGGGACTCCGTGAGTACACGGGGTGGTGCCCGCAACGACGTCCGCACCGGACGGCGTGAGGGGGGTTTCGATCCTCTAGGGGGGTACAAAAAGGGATGAGCCAGAGAGCTCGGGGTTCAGTCTTGGAGTAATTAAGGGAAGACGGAAGACCGGCCAGATAGGCCCTGGACTCCCCCTGGGACGCCGCCCTTGTAAGGGCAGCGCAGGCTGGAGCCAGTGGCGTGGTCCCGGAACCAGAGTTAGTCCTCTGGGACTCCGGGTACCGTAGCCCGACTGACCAGTGTCGGGCCAGACAGCCTCCCCTAGCCCGTTAGTGGAGGACTCGGGTAGGAAGGCTAGCTAGAGGTGTATTCCCAGTTATACGGGTGAGGGGGCCGATACACCCCTCCAGTGCTGTACGACATTGTGTAAATAAATACGTGTGCCTTACTACGGTGTCCAAGCGTCTTCAAGAGTACTTCATTTCTATAATGTTAATAGCTGCAGAGGTTTGGCGAAACAAAGTAGTTGTACTTACGTGCCCGTGCTTGATTTGTGTTCCCATTATTTGCTTTATAAAACAATCTGTCCATGTCTCTCGCATCCCCAGGAAGGGCATCTCGCAGCCCCAGGCGGTGCGAGATGCCCCCGAGGTTTAAGAACCGCTGCTCTCAGGAGTGCAGCATTCCCAGCAGTGTTCATTGTTGGTTCTACATTCAGCGTCTCATCATCATCAGCAGCAGCAGCAGGCGTCGCTTTAAACCGATGCTGGTGACCTGGCCCAGATGTGTATAGATGCGGGTCCTAGTTCTATCTGTAATGCACAGCATTATGATGCGATATGGTTCAAAATAATTCAACATCGAGCACGCATAGAGTCAATTACCCAAACATCGCACACCTCCTGGCTTTGACAACCCTCCTCCTCCTGGAAGACTCTGGTGGTGGTGGTGGTGGAACCATCAGCGGCCCCGGGGGCGCCACGGTGGCTATGAGATGTTAACTACCTCGCCTGGTGTACAGGATGTCGTGGGTTCGATCCCGACCCTGACGATGCCTGCTGCTGCTGTATATTTGGAGTTTGCGTGTCTCTCTGTGGCCGCGTGGATTTTCCCCTCCACATTTAGAATCAACGTGCGTTTACAGTATTTGGCCGCTATGAATCTCTGCGGCTAAGCCACGTGGGCAACGCCTCACCTCTTCACCTCGTCACCTCGTCAACCGCGTTAAGCGTGCGGCGCTCACGACGAGGTTGAGGAGGTCACTCCCATGTTTAACTTGTTGTTCAACTGCACCGATGTCGATCTACGGTCCCCAATAAAGCTCTTAACGAAACACAAGATTGCAATCCAAGTCTCATTTACATCCCTCTAACCGTGTTCTTCATTGCAAGGGCACCGAGCCGCTGCAATGAAGAACACGGTTAGAGGGATTGAAGTCGGAGCGGGGATGAGCATAGTTGATTGGAGACGAGAGGGAGGGAGGGAGGAGAGAGGAGAAAGGGGGGAGGGAGGGTGGCAATCTCTGCCAGGTTTCATTCTCTCGTCAACACCAACGCGTCATCCATAATACAGGTATTTTTTTTGGGGGGGGGGGGTTAGATCGTGTAAATATATAAATGTGTCATTAAACCCGCCACCACCCGACACAGCCAACTCGTAAGGATTGTGTCACGTGAACAGAACGTGGCCAATTCGTGACTGGTCCAGCACTAACCGGTGTGTTGGAGAGCCAAGCCACGACATTTACAATCTGAGTCGATTGTAAATGTTGTGGCTTTGCTCTCCAATTGGCACGTTCTGTTTACGTGACACAGCCCTTACCCACTGGCTGTGTCGGGTGGTGGCGGGGTTTAACGACACATTTATATATTTACGCGATCTAACCCCAAAGAAAACTCTATCATGGATGATATAGCTCGCGAAAGCCGACTACGATTACTACGTGTTAAACTGACCAACACGTCAGCAATGCCTCTTTCTCTCTCTCTGCAATTCCTCGTCTCCCGCCCAGGAGGCCGCGTAGCTGACGGGATGAGTCAAACAATCGATGCCGCTATTTGTTCTATTCGGAGAGACGAATACGGGAAGGAGGAGGAGGAGACATCGTGTCATCCGCCTGGTTATTTTATTAATTGGAGTGGGGGGCGGTGGGGTTCTATGGTTGGCCCCCAAATCTTCCTGAAGTCTGCCCGGGTTTGGGGGGCACAGCCCCCCCCCCCAACCCCTCATCCACGTGGAGCCGCTCATGCCTCCATCTGTCCGCTTCGCTCCGATCCGCTCCGTCTCCCTTGAGATGGACCCCGGGGAGCGGCCGGGAGGAGGGAGGCTGACGATTTACGCTCCGCGCAACGCGTAAATCACGGAGCCGGTGGGGGGATCAGGGCGGCTCCGCGTCTCCCTCCTCCTGCCCCCCCCCTACCCCCTCTACTATCCTCCTCCTCCTCCACCTCCCGTCCTCGTCGTCGCCGCCATCCCTGCAGCCAGAACCCCGGGGAGCGACGCCCGGAGCCAGAGGAGCAGCGGCCGCGATGCGCGGGGCCGGAGGCGGCCGCTGCTAACGCCGCTTCAACCCCCCTCCCACCCTCCACCGCGTCTCCCTCCTCTTCTCCCCTCGTATCCACTCAAGTGCCCCCGCGTCTCCCTGCGTCTCCATCGCGTCTTCTCCCCTCGTCCACTCAGGTCTTGTACCACGTCTCCGATTCGCTTCCCCACGTCTACTGCGTCTTCTTCCCCCTCTGCGCTTCCCCGTGCGCTGCTTACGTCTCCCCTCGCCCCCCCCCCTCACGTTCCTCTCTCCCTTCCTCATCACTCCCCTCGCCTCCCTCTCCTCGTCTCCGTCACCTATCCCCCTCATAACCTCACCACCTCCTCCGTCGGTCCCTCGCTTCTCGCCTCATCTCCCCTCTCACGTGTCCTTACCTCCCTCTCATCTCCCCTCTCACGTGCCCTTACCTCCCTCCCATCTCCCCTCTCATCTCCCCTCTCACGTGTCCTGACCTCCCTCTCATCTCCCCTCTCATCTCCCCTCTCACGTGCCCTTACCTCCCTCTCATCTCCCCTCTCATCTCCCCTCTCACGTGCCGTCACCTCCCTCTCATCTCCCCTCTCCTCTCCCCTCTCATCTCCCCTCTCATCTCCCCTCTCACGTGCCCTTACCTCCCTCTCATCTCCCCTCCCATCTCCCCTCTCATCTCCCCTCTCACGTGCCGTGACCTCCCTCTCATCTCCCCTCTCATCTCCCCTCTCACGTGCCCTTACCTCCCTCTCATCTCCCCTCTCATCTCCCCTCTCATCTCCCCTCTCACCTCCCCTTCCCTCCCTCTCATCTCCCCTCTCTTCTCCCCTCTCATCTCCCCTCTCATCTCCCCTCCAACGTGTCCTTACCTCCCTCTCATCTCCCCTCTCATCTCCCCTCTCACGTGCCCTGACCTCCCTCTCATCTCCCCTCTCATCTCCCCTCCAACGTGTCCTTACCTCCCTCTCATCTCCCCTCTCATCTCCCCTCTCACGTGCCCTTACCTCCCTCTCATCTCCCCTCTCATCTCCCCTCTCATCTCCCCTCTCACGTGCCCTTACCTCCCTCTCATCTCCCCTCTCATCTCCCCTCCCATCTCCCCTCTCACGTGCCCTTACCTCCCTCTCATCTCCCCTCTCACGTGCCTCTCGTTGGCTCTCTCACGTCTCGACTCCCTCGTATTTGCCTCAAGTTCCCTCAATCTCCTCGTCTCCCCTCACCTCTCACGTCCTCTCATTACACCCCCCGCCCCCCACCCCTCCTTATCATCCTCCCATCTCCCTCACTTCTCACCTCCCTCATTTACACCTCACCTTTTCTGGCGTCTCCCCTCACCCACCCTCACCTCCATAATTTCTTCCCTCCCTCTAATTTCCTTCATCTTCCCTCAACTATCTCATTCCCCTCACCTTCACTCACCTCTCATTCTCATCATCTTCCCTCAACTCCCTCATTCCCCTCATCTTCCCTCACTTCTCCCCCAAATCATCTCCCTCACAAATCCCCTCACTTCTCACATCTCCCTCTCATTCCCATCACCTCCCTTCATCCACCCCTCACCTCCCTCACTTCTCACAGAATCATCTCCCTCAGATTCCCCACCAGGGCCCTCACCTCCCGCCGTCATCAACCTCGTCATCTCCCCCCTTCCCACCACCACCTCCACCACCGTCATCGTCACCACCTTCGCCATGGACGTGGTGAAGGCCTCGCTCGTGTGCTTCAGCCTGCTCTTCTGGCTGGCCGGCCTGGCCACGCTCTCGCTGGGCCTGTGGGCCCGCCTGGCCCTGTCCCTCTACCTGGAGGAGCTCACGACGGGCGACTACAGCAGCGCGCCCTACGTGCTGCTCGCGGCCGGGGCCGCCGTCACCGCCTGGGGCTTCCTCGGCTGCTTCAGCGCCGCCACCGGCAACCCCCGCCTGCTGCGGGTCTACGGCCTCTTCCAGGTCGCCGTGCTCGTGGCCGGCCTCGCCGCGGGCCTCTCGGGCCTCTTCTACCGCCGCGACATCGCCGAGGGCTTCCGCCACGGGCTCGCCCGCGCCCTGCGGCTCTACGGAGACGACGACGCCAAGAGCGCGGCCATGGACGGCCTGCAGAGGGCCCTGGACTGCTGCGGGGTGGACGGCTTCCAGGACTGGCTGCCGGCGCCCTGGTCCCGGGGCCGCCTCAACAACGGCTCGGTGCCCGAGAGCTGCTGCGTGCGCCGCCGCGGGTGCCGCAGCGACCCCGTGGGCCCCGCGGGCGAGGGCATCTTCCCCGACGGCTGCTTCACCAAACTCGTCGACCTCGTGAGCGACAACCTCTTCTACATCGCGTGCGGCGCCCTCGGCCTCGCCTTCACGCAGGTCATCGGCATCGCGCTCGCCTGCGTGCTCGCGGCGCGCATCGAGGCCGGCCCGGGGCCCGAGGGCGACCGCGACACCCTGTCCTAGGAGGGGGTGGCCCTCCCCTCCCCGCCCTGCCGCTCCACCCCGAGCATCGGGACGCGTCTCTACCAAAGGGGCCCCAGGCCACGGGCCCGAGGGAACCAGGAGGGGCTCCAGAGAGACTTGCAAAGGGACCGGGGCTGGAGAGAGGCCCAGCGGTGGGGTGGGGGGGGGGGGGTCCTCGGAGGAGACACAGAAGACGCCGACGGCGAGGGGGACAACCCCTGCTGACGGGACCCAGAGGACCAAGGAGGTCCAGTGAGTAACCGCGTGGGGATAGCCACGAGAGCTCCTACGGGATCCCGGGGGAGACTCAGGGAGGGTCAAGACGAACGTCTGCTGAGAGGCCAAGGGGGTCCGAGGGGGCTGAAGGGGGCCCGTGGGGACGCGTGAATCGCGAACACAGCGCGTGTGGGTGCAGCGAGTCGCGCACCCGGGGTACCTTTGTCGCGTACCCGGGGTGCGTGTGTCACGTGCTTGAGGTACGTGTGTCGCGTACCCGAAGTACCTGAGTCGCGCACCTGGGGTACCTTTGACGCGTACCCGGGGTGCGTGTGTTGTGTACCCGGGATACACGTGTAGCGGCACCCGGGGTACCTGTGTCACATACCTGGGCTACGCGTGTCGCGTACACCGTGTGGAGGCAGCGTTGACTCTACACCCAGAGGCCGGGGGGGGGGGGCACCCAAACCAGGCCCCCCACCAGTCCCCGGCCCTTGGGGGCCCCGCGTGGACGGGATAGGAAGGGGGGGGTGGCGGTCGTGTAATCTGTTGTCTGTCACGTGACCTCACCCGGTGAATGGGGGGCACGTGGGAGGGTGGAGGGGGTGGACACTGCCCCCCGCACCTTGTCCGAACTTAAAACCGCAACTGGCCATGTGTGGCCTTGAACCCCGTCCGCGCGTGCCCCCCCCCACCCCCATGACTTGTTCATCTTGATCGGAAAATAAAACGCGGCAACTGCTCACATCATGGGCAGCTCGTGGTGAGTGTGGTGAGCGTAGTTATGTGTGGCGTGAGTGTAGTACGTGTGGTGTGGTGTGGTGAGTGTAGTACGGGTGGGGAGTGTAGCATGTGTGGTGTGGTGAGTGTGGTGAGTGTGGTGAGCGTGGTATGTGTGGTGTGAGTTTAGTACGTGTGGTGTGGTCAGGGTAATATGCGTGGGGAGTGTGCTGTGAGTGTGGTGAGTGGTAGGTGTGGTGTGTGTGCTGTGAGCGTGCTGTGAGTGTGGTGAGTGGTAGGTGTGGTGTGTGCATGTGCTGTGAGCGTGGTGAGTGTGGTGAGTGGTAGGTGTGGTGAGTGTGGTGTGTGCATGGTGAGTGCGGTGAGTGGTAGGTGTGGTGTGTGTGCTGTGAGCATGGTGAGTGTGGTGAGTGGTAGGTGTGGTGAGTGTGGTGTGTGCATGTGGTGTGAGCGTGGTGAGTGTGGTGAGTTGTAGATGTGGTGAGTGTGGTGTGTGCATGTGGTGTGAGTGTGGTGAGTGGTAGGTGTGGTGTGTGCATGTACTGTGAGCGTGGTGAGTGTGGTGAGTGGTAGGTGTGGTAGGTGTGGTGTGTGCATGTACTGTGAGCGTGGTGAGTGTGGTGAGTGGTAGGTGTGGTAGGTGTGGTGTGTGCATGTGCTGTGAGCGTGGTGAGTGTGGTGAGTGGTAGGTGTGGTGTGTGTGCTGTGAGTGTGGTTAGTGTGGTGTGTGCACGTGGTGTGAGCGTGGTCAGTGTGATGACAGCGTGGTGGGCGTAGGGTGTGTAGTGAGTGCGATGTAGTGAGTGAGCGGTGGCGTAGTGGTTAGGGTGCTGCGTTCCAAACCCGGCCACTCGAATTATATTCCCGCTCACGACTAATATATTCATATGAATACAGTGAGGGAAAAAAGTATTTGATCCCCTGCTGATTTTGTACGTTTGCCCACTGACAAAGAAATGATCAGTCTATAATTTTTATGGTAGGTTTATTTGAACAGTGAGAGACAGAATAACAACAACAAAATCCAGAAAAACGCATGTCAAAAATGTTATAAATTGATTTGCATTTTAATGAGGGAAATAAGTATTTGACCCCTCTGCAAAACATGACTTAGTACTTGGTGGCAAAATCCTTGTTTGCAATCACAGAGGTCAGACGTTTCCTGTAGTTGGCCACCAGGTTTGCACACATCTCAGAAGGGATTTTGTCCCACTCCTCTTTGCAGATCTTCTCCAAGTCATTAAGGTTTCGAGGCTGACGTTTAGCAACTCAAACCTTCAGCTCCCTCTACTGATTTTCTATGGGATTAAGGTCTGGAGACTGGCTAGGCCACTCCAGGACCTTAATGTGCTTTTTCTTGAGCCACTCCTTTGTTGCCTTGGCCGTGTGTTTTGGGTCATTGTCATGCTGGAATACCCATCCACGACCCATTTTCAATGCCCTGGCTGAGGGAAGGAGGTTCTCACCCAAGATTTGACGGTACATGGCCCCGTCCATCGTCCCTTTGATGCGGTGAAGTTGTCCTGTCCCCTTAGCAGAAAAACACCCCCAAAGCATAATGCTTCCACCTCCATGTTTGACGGTGGGGATGGTGTTCTTGGGGTCATAGGCAGCATTCCTCCTCCTCCAAACACGGCGAGTTGAGTTGATGCCAAAGAGCTCCATTTTGGTCTCATCTGACCACGACACTTTTACCCAGTTGTCCTCTAAATCATTCAGATGTTCATTGGCAAACTTCAGACGGGCATGTATATGTGCTTTCTTGAGCAGGGGAACCTTGCGGGCGCTGCAGGACATCCTTCACGGCGTAGTGTGTTACCAACTGTTTTCTTAGGGACTGTGGTCCCAGCTGCCTTGAGATCATTGACAAGACCCTCCCGTGTAGTTCTGGGCTGATTCCTCACCGTTCTCATGATCATTGCAACTCCACGAGGTGATATTTTGCATGGAGCCCCAGGCCGAGGGAGATTGACAGTTCTTTGTGTTTCTTCCATTTGTGAATAATCGCACCAACTGTTGTCACCTTATCACCAAGCTGCTTGGCGATGGTCTTGTAGCCCATTCCAGCCTTGTGTAGGTCTACAATCTTGTCCCTGACACCCTTAGAGAGCTCTTTGGTCTTGGCCATGGTGGAGAGTTTGGAATCTGATTGATTGATTGTTTCTGTGAACAGGTGTCTTTTATACAGGTAACAAGCTGAGATTAGGAGCACTCCCTTTAAGAGTGTGCTCCTAATCTCAGCTCGTTACCTGTATAAAAGACACCTGGGAGCCAGAAATCTTTCTGATTGAGAGGGGGTCAAATACTTAATTCCCTCATTAAAATGCAAATCAATTTATAACATTTTTGACATGCGTTTTTCTGGATTTTGTTGTTGTTATTCTGTCTCTCACTGTTCAAATAAACCTACCATTAAAATTATAGACTGATCATTACTTTGTCAGTGGGCAAACGTACAAAATCAGCAGGGGATCAAATACTTTTTCCCCTCACTGTATATGAACCGGTCCTGGGCTTCCCCCTAGGTCGACTCAGCTTTAAATGAGTAGCTGGTACGGCGCATAAACATCGCACCGCCGTGCAGGCCCGCATAGGTGCTCGCTAACAGCACTTGCCCCAAAAACCTATATGGGTGCTATTTGGTGTGTGAAGTAATTGGTGGTGTGGGAAGTGTGGTGAGTGTAGTGGGAGTTATGGGAAAGATTATGGGTAGGGGTCGGATGCGTCAGCAGTTCGTGCGCGGTTTGTACTCTTCCACCCCCCCCTTCTCTCTCCCCTTCTCTCATACACGTGTAGTGAGTCATTCAGAGACACTATTTAGGAGGCAACAAAGTTTATTCTACACTTTACCCAACACTGTTACACACGGGACTAAATACGCTTATTCTCACTCTTGTTATGCATAGGACCACAATACACCTATTTCTCTTGCATACGGGATAACTATAATCGGGTCAATGCAGCAACGTGCTGCCTGACCCACGATGTCGAAGACGGAGACGAAGACGTAGCACTTGGGTTCCACTTCACCTGCAGACAGCCCGAATCTGTGATCGGGGCTTCCCTTTTATCTTTCTCGGCGCGGTCTGGCTCCACCCTGGGTCGCGCCCTATGTCCAGAATATTTCCGACGATTCCAGGCTACACCGCACCTCTTCCCTCTCTGGCTCCGCCCTTAACCACGCCTTTTTCGGAAACTCTCTGGACGTTCTCAGCTACTCCCTCCGTGCCCCGTCGTTCACCTTTGGCCCACATTACTCACCCAGGCCTATCACGTGCTTAACCCGGTGCCTCGTCCTCACATGGCCCCGACCACCAGCCAACCCCCACCACACTCTCCCAGTGGCCCACTCTGTGGTGATTCCCTGCAGCGCTGATGGAGGCTACAATCTCCTACTCAGTCGGTAGGACTCATCTGGCTTCCTCCTGCTCGCACCCAGTACCATGCCCCTAGTGGCCCACTGAATGGTCCTGCATGGTGTGTGAGCCTCTGCCCCTGTTTCAACGGCACTTGGCGCGACACGCCGTAGTGATCCATTTAACATCACTACAGCACCCCCCCCCCCCCCGTTTTACAACTCAGCCGTCCCAGCTGACACCCATACCCTGTACAGCGGGACGAACTACCAGAACACAACACCCAAAGCAACGAAGCCCCTAGCTTGCAAGCAAAAGTAAACATGACAACTTGAAGACCTCGTAAACAATAGCGAGACAACAATTCGAAAACCCTACCCGCAATGAACAGCAGCAACAATAAGAACCTCCCTCGCAAGTCAAGAGCCCGAACGAACAACAACAATGCAATACAGCAATAACAACAACAAAATATTCCGACACCCCATAATGACCCACCCTGGACTATGTACAAAACTCGATAACCGCCGACCCACCGCCGCCCACGAGTCCAGGAAGGACCCAGTTCAACCGGCAAACGCAGCCTGGCTCATGGCTGCAGTTTCTTGTCAGGCGGCGGCGAAATAAATAGGATGACCGGGTGGGTTATTAAATAGTCACAGTTTTGGAGCGGGTTCTTGTCGCCGGGCCCCCAGGCGGGGCAAGGGCAGGTTTACCGGGGGCCCCGGGGATGACTTGAAGAAGGCCTAACGGGCGTAGCCCCTCCTGGACAGAAGATAGGAGAGGAGGGGAAGCGGATGTCAGCTGCTCCCTCCCCACTGGATGGCTTTCTGACGGCGTGACGGGCAGCCCCGAGGTCATCAAGTGCTGGATTCCTGTGGGCGGAGGAACAGAAATCCACTGAGGCACAACTTCGGTAGGCGCACGCCTGGGCTCGTCGGGCACATCAGACACCCGGCCTCGGGGCAGTGGGGATGAAACATAAAGACAAGGCAGAAAATACAGTTTCGGTCGCGACGGGTGCATGTACCAAAGTCTGCGACCGACCTGAATCCGAATGCATTGGGGCCTCTTGACCTCTAT